TTTTTTTTTTTTTTAATTAATAGATATGTTTAAAAAGTAAGCTTAGTTATTGCTAGACTGGCAAAATCCCCTACTCCATTTACTGAGGTACTTAAAAATAACTAGCATGCTATATTATCTTTTTTTTCCCAGCTTTGTCTTGAGTTGGCATTGCTGCCCTTGTTTTTATCTCAACTGGCTGTAGCTTTTAGATAATATCATAAGGATTAACCAGTAACATCCTGCATCATCACCGTTTCCTAGGGGGAAATATTTGGTATTTGGTTTTTCTGTTGCAGCAAATAAAACCTCAGGAGCACCAGGAAATCGTCCTGGAAGTGTAATCCGCGTATATGGTGATGAAAACAGCGATAAAGTGACTCCAGGGACATTTATACCCTATTGTTCAATGGCACATGCCCAGCTTTGCTTCCACGGGCACCGGGACGCAGTGAAATTCTTTGTGGCAGTCCCAGGTGGGTTAGATTATTCTGTCGAGAAGTTGCATGTAATCATCTCTTCTATCCCTTGGTCCACTATCTAGTCTAATGCTAAGTACTGGTATTACAGATAATTCCAATATATTATATGAAAAGTTGTATAATTAGAGGTTTTTTATAATGGATAAAGCACTATAGGGATATTTGAATGAAATTGCTTTGGAATCTCTCCTCTCTCCCCCAAGACAAACTTGTTGATTTTTATGTAAGAGACGTGCTTGCTTTTGAAAAGCAGTGGTACTATTTTGTCACCGCAGGGTTCCAGAAATGGTCCTGGCCGAATAAAGGAGATGGCTAGAAGGAAGCCCCTGTCATCAGAATTGTGTACAGGAAGGGATGGAGAAGGCTAATTCCGTGTAAGTAACTATTGTGGCAAAGAGCAGCAGGCTAGGGGTCCCTGCCTTGCTGCTCACGTAGTTCTCTTGAGCAGGTCACTTAACCTCTGTGACTGGTCCTCATTTTCTTTTTTTAACTTTTTTTTTTTAACGTTTATTTATTATTGAGAGACAGACATGGAGCCGTGAGCAGGAGGAGAGGGGAAGGACAGGGGAGACACAGATCGAGAAGCAGGCTCCAGGCTCTGAGCTGTCACACAGGCCTGACATGGGGCTCCAACTCACTGTTGTGTGAATGATATGACCTGGGTCAGAAGTCCACATGCAGCAACCGACTGAGCCACCCAGGCGCCCCCTTTTTTAAGAATTTTTTTAATGTTATTTCTTTTTGAGAGAGAGAGAAAGACAAAGCATAAGCAGGGGATGGGCAGAGAAAGAGGGAGACACAGAATCTGAAGCAGGCTCCAGGCTCTGAGCTGTCAGCACAGAGTCCAACGTGGGGCTCGAACTCACAAACAAGGAGATCGTGACCTGAGCCGAAATCGGACCCTCAACCAACTGAGCCCCCCAGGTGCTCCTCTGGTCCTCATTTCCTAAGTGGATGTGACTGATCTCTGCTCTGCTGACCTCACTTGTGGTGAAAATTAATGAAAGTGCTCTAGAACTATAAAGCACCATGTAGGTGAGAGGCGTAGTGGTGATATCCGGTGACAAATGTTCTGTCCACTGACGATACTAAACTGATGTGACTGACCACCTGCAAGCAGGACCCACGCCTGGAAGTTTTCCCCCTAGGGTTTCTGTCCCATTTCACGCTCAAAGATTCGACCTTACAACTTAAACTTTAGAGTAAATGGCACATGTACTAGTAATTTATTTGCCTAATCTAAATTACAAATAAGATGTATTTTTCTTAAATATGAGAGGAAAACCATGGATTTGAAATATTTGAAATATTAATTATGAATATCCAAACTCATAGCACTTAAGTTGAAGACCTTTTCCAGTGTCTTACACAAATTCACATGTACCTTTTCTGGAGCCCCTCAGATCAAACAATGTAGATTGTAATACTCTGAAGCAGGCAGCTAAGACCTGCCTGGCCATACACAGGTCTCATAATGGATTTGGATCCATTCCTGCTTTGGCGCAAAATGGCTCTACTTAGATTTTCAAATTGGGTTCTTATGACTCTTATAGGTGTTTTCTGATCACATAGAGGCTTCTGGCATTCCCAATACTTTGGTTGTATCACAATATATTTACCTTTTTATTCAACTTTCTGAAAATATTCAGAGAAAATGAGCCTTCCCCCACCCCAGTCCGTGATAAGTAATAGTCACTTCTTTTCTGTCACAAATAGGTCAAGTCGTCAGTCCACAAAGTGGCAGTGGTGGCACAGATCTAACAGGTGACAGAGCAGGGCCATCTGCACAGGAGCCTGGCAGCCAGACGCCCTTGAAGTCTATGCTCGTCATCAGCGGAGGAGAGGGCTACATTGACTTCCGAATGGGTAAGTCGTTGGTTCTGGGAGCTCGGTTTCCATTGTGTTCTGTAACCCCGTGCTGCCAGCACGGAGCCCGACACGGGGCTCAGACTCTCCAACCACGAGAGCATGGCCTGAGCCAAAGTCCACAATTGAACACTTAACCGGCTGAGCCACCCAGGCACCCCTAGCATAACGTTTTTAAATGTAAAAACCAGACCAGAGTTTTTACGTTCTTAGATTGTGTCTTGAGCCTTTTAAAGCATGCCCCAGCACACAGTTTGACCTTGCTGTGGAAGGAGGTGGGTAAAGGAGAGTCTGGCCTGCAGAGAAACATGCAAACCTTGAGGTGCTTTTCCGCTGTCCCTGTTCCCGGCTCATGGTAGCGATGTTTTCTTTGCCCCGCTGACGTTCAGGGGAGACACGTGACAGAACTACAGCAGGTGGGCGGTGTGTCTTGGCCCCTGAGGCCAGAAGTAGCGAGGGTTCCGCCAAAGAGCCTGTGCCATGAGACCAGTTGTTCAGCTGGTTAGAATAGCCCTGCTCTGCTGCAGCAACACCGCTGATGCACCTTTGCTTTTGTTTTTGTTTTTTTTATTTTCTTTACATGTTTGTTTATTTTTGAGAGAGAGACAGAGCGTGAGTAAGGGAGGGTCAGAGAAGGAGGGAGACACAGAATCGGAAGCGGGCTCCAGGCCCTCCGCTGTCAGCTCAGAGCCTGACTCGGGGCTTGAACTCAGAAACCGTGAGATCGTGACCTGAGCTGAAGTCAGGCGCTTAACCAACCGAGCCCCCCAGGCGCCCCCTGATGATGCACCTTTGGAGAGAGGAGTATGGTTTGCTTGCACGGGGCCTTGGAGAGCAGTGTCTTTGATCAGGACCTCATTTCTCGAGTTCACTTAGCTATTTCTGGGAGAACCTATAGCCTGTCTGTGACTTCAGTCTCATTTCTTCATCACCATACTGTCTGCTCACTACCTGTCCTAAACTTGACAATCATGGGTTGAAGAAGCTCAGTGTCGGGGCACCCAGCTGGCTCAGTCGGTAGAGCGTGCGACTCTTGATCTCAGGGCTGCGAGCTCGAGCCCCATGTTGGGTGTAGAGATTGCTTAAAAATAAAATCTTAAAAACAGAAAAAAACCCAAAAACTCAGTATCTCAGTACAGTGAGTGGCGAATCTGCTGTCTCCTACTGCTAGGAGTATGTGAAACAGTTTCTGTTTCTGTGTGCTCTTATGGGTTGTCTCTGATTGGAGAGCTTTACTGTCACTGACGACAAGCAGGGGTTGCTTGGATGTAGCTAGTTTGGTGTGTGGGCGCTATCTCCACGCTTTCACATTTATAGTCCCATCTAGTCTCACTTCTCAGTTTGAAATAAATGAGAGTAGACCCTGTCCCTTTGGATCGACAGAGGGTTGGATGGCTTTGACTTCTTGGCTTCTCCTCATTTCTGTTAATGTCAGCGTGCAGACGTATTGGGGTCAGTTTCCAATGTAGTATAGTGAACTCACTTTTATCCTTGTGGTCTGAAATGAATTCGCCTTTTTAGAAGTTGGGCGAGTGAAGGTTCTGACCCAGGGTATTTCTTGTACTGTGTGCTCTGGAAGGGGAGTCAGCCGGATTTTGTGCACACTGTTCACAGACCTGTACATGGGCTTGCGTGTTCCATGCTCCACCTAACCCGAGTCTCCTTATCGCCCCCCAGGTGATGAAGGTGGAGAATCAGAACTTCTTGGAGAGGATCTTCCACTTGAACCTTCTGTCGCCAAAGCAGAAAGGAGTCACCTGATAGTGTGGCAAGTGCTGTATGGCAATGAGTGAGCACATAGGAAACCGGTGGAGACAGGGAAGCTGTCTCTTCTGCATGGTTTATTTTCCCTTTCCCCTTAATTTAATGCTCTCTTTGTGAAATCAGTTTCACCACATAATGTGTGAGCATTTTTTTTTCCTGTTAACTTTCTATCACAAGACCTGTCCTTCCCGTAACAATACAGGAACTAGCTGTTTTACTGCACCAGTGTTCCAGGCGATTTCAGTACGTTATGAACAAATCAAAGAATGTTTACTCTCTGCAAACTGAATTCTAGGAAGCAATCCAGATGTGGTTCACTCTGCCACAGCTGATGTCACTCACTTCGTTTGATGGGGTCACTTTTGAGCTGTCGCTAATAATGGAATCCATGGGAACACTTGATAAGTGGAACTATACCATTTGGTACAATTATAGTCTTCCCCGTGTATTATAAAACTGACACAAACTAGTATCAGGTGGATTATCAGGAGGTCTCTAAGTGTCCCAGGGGGCTAAAAGCTAATTGTAAATTACTTTCACTTTCGAATCTGACAAATCTTGTTTATATATGGTATATAAAACCTTGTTTTCATCAGATGGGGGGGGGGTTTTATATTGAAGAAATTAAGACTACACTATTTAAATAAAAGATTCCTGTTTCTGACTTATTAGAGCTCTACAGTTTATGAGGCCTGCTCTCTGGATATTGTGATGATGATTCTTTCTGAGACTAGTCTCCCTCGTTTTCATACTGACATGTCGGAAAGGGTTATCGTTGATACGGCTCAGAAGATCGCTTCAGCAGTGGGAGGATTTGTCTTTAAGGAAATTGTGTTTTGGGTTCCTGTATCAATGGATGGTGGTGGTTGGTGAAGGTTTCTCCAGGTAAAACATTCACCTGTTCACCAGTGGTGCTGGGACTGCTCTTGCCGGTTCACAAGAGTAAAGCAGCAGCCGTGATACAGTGGCCTGTGAACTGAAGGAGGGATTTGATTAGAAACAGTATTTTCTCTGGTTCTGTGTAGAACTACAGAACAACTAGCACTTGATATTTTGTACGTAAGTGACACCTTGAAGCTTTTGTGCCCTTTTGAGATGAAAATGCCACCAGCAAAGAGGAAGGCGATGAAGGGGAAGAAGACAAGGCCAAGATACCGTAAAGTGAGAGTTGACATGTTTATCTTTTTACTCATGACACCCATTTCAAAAGCTGAGTCCGGGTTTCACGGGTTTTCTTGTTTAATAAGTTTTTAAAGACCATCACGCTGCAGTTCTCCCCCTCTCGAGCTTCTTGAAAAAATGAGTGATTTACCATTTCTTTAAGCAAAGCTAAATAGAAATTTAAGTGTTATTTTAAAAATATAAACCTGTTGAATAAGGGCCCCCGATCCTCAGAAGGAGTGCTTGAAGGAAAAGTAAGCAAACACAGGACTCAGACTGTGTAAGTGGTCTGAAGCACCGGCTGTTGGTTGTTTCTGAGCTGCCACGCAGAGGTATTTGTAAAAAGCGTGCCGCTGTCCTCAAGCATCTGCGTGATTCAGCTAATTGATAAATACGTGGGATTTAATGAGCCGGAGGCAGCCTTTGAATCCACTGGGCCACGATGTGTCTGTGAGCACATCGTGTACACGATGAAGCGGTGGCCACCTCAGATGGTCAGGAGAAAGGAACCCCCTTTGGCAAAAGCTGCGGTGAAAGGCTGATTTTTTTGCTCGAGATACTTAGTCACTTTTTCAAGGCACCAAAACTTAGGCCCCCTTTTCATAGCGTTCAGCTATATTTTTATTTTAAATATGAGCCACTTTGGGCACTACCTAAAAAAATCCCCACGTCGTTACAACATTTGTGGGGAGGAATTGTTGTATAATTTCACAAACAGGAGACACCAAAGTGTTTGGGAATTTTAATCCCAAGAAATAAACATCCCAGAGTCAGACCCCACTTGCTGTTCAGTTTGTACACGTTTGTGTGATCAAATGTAATTTAGGAAATCAGGAGTTAAAAGATGAAAAATGTGTACATGTTACAGTGGTTCTAATTGTTCTTACTGGCTTTAGTGTAGGGGTGTAGCTATTTTATCTAAAGCCGTCAGATTATCTGTGGCCCTGTTCATTAACATCAGGGACTAGAGAGAGTACAGAAATGCTTGTACAATTTGTTTTAAGGGCTTGTCCTTATATAATTGTAATATCGTTTAAGTATCTTCTGCAGATCACTTTACTCCCCTCCCCCTCCCTTTCCCCAACAATAGGTTTATATTCTTGTAACGTTCACTTTGGTCAAGGTGGTAACATTCACTTTGGTAAGAACCAAAATGTAAGCTTCTTGCGAGCAGGGAAGCGTTGGTGCACACTGCCTATAGCTTCCAACTCGAGGGTAGAGAAGAGGCTCGAATACCTCGGGTTGGTCTCTCCATGTAAAAAATACATGTATTGCCCCTGTTGGAAGAAATAAGGGATACCCGAGAATTTTCTCATTTTGTTATGCGTGGGTTATGTATGAGGTTGAACCATGAGAAGTTGCCGACGCTCGACCATTGCTAATCTACACAAATGTCAGTATCACATACCCCAACCCGATGCTTACTATGAAATGCAGGTTAAAATCCCTGGGAGGCAAAGGGAGAATGTTCTTGAAGAACTACACCATTTTGAGAGTGTTTGTCTCGAACCTGTGTGGATCTACATTTTTTAAACAGGAAGGGATATCTTAATAGATGCAGCTTGTTGAGAGTGTAAAACATTTTGAGCACAAAGTATGCAGCACATAACTTTTCAAGTGAAGTGTGTTTGCATAGAAAAGATGAAAATACATTCTCTCAGTTGCTGTATTGTTCATTTCTTGTAAAGGTCTTACTACATTTGAGAATAGACCCTTTAACATAGGCTGCCTTAGTAACAAAACAAAGCAAAACAATTGTCTCATAATATTAACTGTCCTAAAGAATGTGCGTCTTTCTTGCAAATGCTGTGGAACTGAATATTTATTTCCTTGTGAGTATTATGACCGTTACCAAAGGACTCCACCAGATTTAGGGCTCTTCTTAATTGATCATGTTGAGAAAGGGACTCATTTGGCCCCCGTTTGTAACATGGGAAGAGTAGAGAAGAGAGAATTAAATGTGGAAATCATCAGTGCTTTTCTAACAGGGTGACGCTGTTTTGTAACACTAAATGTCTTCTTCTTTCTCTTAAAAAATTAAGTTTTTATTATTAATTTTGTCGTACATTTCTCAATATATTTGAATATATTTTAACCATTTTATGTTCTGAATTTGTTTTTTTGTCCTAGACATTTTATCCAGACTTTTACTGGCCTCTATAATCTGAGAAATGGGTTCTAGAGTGTCCCACTTGTTGTCTCTTAGAGGCTGAGGCTTCATTTCTATGAGCAAAAAGCTCACTTAGCAATGTAGTTATTTCGGTATTTATTTCTATTATGGAATCCCTGGGGTTCGGAATGTAACTTTGTACATGAAATATATATAAATATGTATATGAAACACGTATGAGGTCCAGTGTATTTTGTTTTGTTTTTGCCTTTCCTAGGGGTCTGGACTTGGTTTTTATTCAACAGTCTAATCATCTCCCCCCATCACACAGGGCATTTCTGAGGGTGAGGACTGGTCACCCTTTGACACTGACTGAAGGTGAGCAGTGGGGAATGCAGGAAGAACATGTCTGCTCGGCTCACATGTTCAAATGAGATGTGAGTAATAGACAATAGGGCTTTCTAGAAATGTGGGCGTGCTGAGTAACAACCCACGCATGATACAAGGCATACCATTTGCCAGGTTGACTCAGTAACGAGAGGCAGGCTGTAATGTAGATGTTAATAATACAGTGTGCTTACTTGTGACCCATTTGCTTGGGAGAGACTCTGGAAGGAAGGATGATTATAAAACTAATCATGTGGTAGCACGATGTGAACCCACATTCAGTGCAGTGGTATTCAGTCCAATCCGGTGTATTTTGTTTACAAGAAACGTGGGGTTCTGACGTGACGGTAAAAGTAGCCCCGATCAGCATATTAACAGGACAGTTCACTCGGTGAAGGCACAGCCATCCATCCAGTTGAGGTTGGATGCCCTGGAGTATAACTAATAGCCTGGCTCATTCCTGCTTGACAGGACCTTCCCCAACTGCCCCTCAGTCCTCCGGGGCCTGCCAAGTCATTGTTTTGGAAACTGATGAATTCTTTTCAGCCTCATTCAGTCATTTTACTGAGCCAGCCAGGCTTCAGGTGAGAAGCCAGGGGAGCAGCACAGGAAAGGACACATTCATTGTAGTTTTTTGTTGGGGGAACGGGACCGGAACACTGTCCTCAGCACGGGAACTGTGGCCGGCAGTCCCACCCTGTGGGGAAACTGTCTTTCGGGCCCTCGTGGAGAGAGACTGCTTAAGCCCCCGAGCTCGCCCTCACCAGGCCCCCAGGCTTCTCCCATTCTGTGTAGGCAGGAGAGCCCTGGTGACCACAAAGGGCACGGGCTTAATTTTCTGCAGTGGCCAATTTGTTAGGAAAGATTTTGTAGTGAGGGACTTCTCAGAATGTCTTAAATACTCATAATAATATAGTTCAGTTTTATTTTATTTTTATGTATATATTTTGAGAGAGAGAGAGCACAAGCTGGGGAGGAGCAGAGAGAAGGAGAGACAGAATCTCAAGCAGGTGCCACACCGTCCCCGCAGAGCCCTGTGTAGGGCTGGAACTCGGGAGAGCATGACCTGAGCCGGGACAGAGAGTCGGACGCTTAACAGATTGTGCCGCCCAGGCACCCCAACACAGTTCGGTTTTAAACTCCTTCCCTTTAGAGACTTGGGTGGTATACAGTGGGAAAGAAGGCTCTAGACCTGTCCAAGCTCTACCCCTACGGTGACCCTGGGCAAGTCACTTTATTTAACGTGGCACCCCAGAAACACTCATAAAGGCATAAAACTCCACCCCTGAATACTGAACTGGACTCTGCTGGGCCTGGACCCAGGCATCTGTGAGGCGTCGCAGGTAAAGTGTGATGTGTGGCTTCTGCTGA